AGGCGTCAGCTGGACATCTTCTTTAATGAACCGGAAGAGGGCAATGTACTGATGGTCAGGGAATTTTACGCGAATTGCCCAGAACATGTTGATAGGGTTGTCACGGTACGAAACACCCCAGTGAATACGTCTCTTGAGGACATCCGCCGAGTGTACAAGTTGCCGGTATTCACTGGAGAGACGGATTATTACCAAGATTGTCAACGCCCACCTGTCTGGTAGCAACCAATTGTTGAAACAATCTGTGTGGCTGGCCGGGATCCAATATGGATAAAGTAGAGAATTACCCTAAACTCCCAATCTCTCACTTGGGAAGCTAAGTGTTGGCTAACAATCATCAACAGTCGTTTGCTGCCATCCAGCAACACTACAAATGTTAATGGGCCAAGAGCAGCGACGATTTATTGTTTTATGACCCAACACGATTTTGATGTGGCCCGGCTCATTCAGGATGAAATGTTCATTCGCTCCCCGAAAATACTCAAAGGGTTCTACTTCCCTTCCCTGGTCACCAAGATGTGTCGTGCTTCATGAGTTCCTGAAAATCCCATAGTAGATGAGAAAGTGCCATTAAAAGCCCCATTCTAGGCTAGCAAAATCACAGTTGGGAAAGAGCAGGCTGTGGCAGATGATGATGATACCGACGATGAGGATGAGGGAGCTATGCATGCTGCCGCCCCACCGATGCAGATTGTTGATGAGGCGGGCCCATCACAGGCCCGCTGGAGTACCCGGATGACAGCTTTGGAATAGGAGATGGCTGGCCTACGCACGTCAGTCAATGACCTGAATGCTAGAGTTGACACTTTGGCCACTCAAAAGGACAGGTCAGAGAAAAAGATCATGGGCTGGCTCCGGGAGTTAGGACGAGCGTGTCACCTTGATCCTGGCACCTTCTATGATCAGGACTGAGCACCAGGGAAGTCCCCTTACCTTACTCTGCTTTAATTTCTTTAACATGAGGACATGCCAAATCTTTAAGTGTGGGGTGGGGGAAGGTTGTTGTTGTTGTTGTTGTACAATTGTATAAATTTGTTTGGTGTTTTTGGTTGCTGTTAATTAACTTCGACTTGGCCCTAAGACGGACACCTCTCGACGGGTCTCTTGAGGGACTTAAGTCGAACACTAAAAAAAGAAAAAGATTTTCCTCTGTTAGGTAGTGTATCAACTCCCCCTTGGTTTTTCTTTAAACCGCGGTTATTTTCCAAGGGTTTCTATTTGAAGCGGGTGTAGTTAGTTTTTTTTCTTTTTGTTAGTTTAGGAATTTTTGGTCAAGGAAAGACTAGAAATAGGATCCCTTGACTCCATGGTACCTTGAATAGAGATTGTTTTAGTGTGACACTTAGGATCATTAGTTGACTCTAGCAATAAAGCCTTAAATTGTGTGTTCTTGAGTTGGCTTAAGCAACTTGAGCAGAGTGTCTGATGGTCCTAACTGAATTGAGTCATGTGCCATGTGTGAGTGAGGCTTTGTGTATTCTATGCTAACACTCAATGCCTAGAACTTTCCCTATGTGTGTACGAAGCGAAATGGTAGTCTTAATTGGTCTGGAAAGTGATATAGGCATTTTCTTGTTGAACCTATCTATCTATGTTTTCGCCCACCTGATTGAGTATATCCTAGTTAACCCTTTTGAGCCTGCAATCATGTTTCTTTGGCGACCACATTACAAGCCTTACCCAAGTTGTGAATTGTCTATCTTTTTGAACCTTATCACCTCTTAGAAGCACTTGATTGTAATGAATATCGAAAAGCTAAAGTGTGGGGTGGCTGGTTGGGCTTTCGAGTGGAACCAAGAAGACATAAAAACAAAAGGGGTGCATTGTGTGATAAACAGTATTAGAAGCCGCCAGAATCTGAAAAAAAAAAAGAAAAAAAGAAAAAAGAGAAGAGACTGAGCTGGATAATTTTTACAAGAATAAGTCTCAAAATGGTGGTGGTCTTTAAAAGAGAAAGTGTGCTTAAAGACATAGGGGTTTAACTAGATGATGTTAAGGTGGAATGAAGGTTTGATAAAGGTATGGGCTTGAAAGTGGAAAGTGTATTGAGTGCTTAGAGAGGTGTAGTCACTATACCCATATGTATCCTACCTGTCCCGCAGCCAACATTACAACCAAATAAAGTCCTACTTGATTCAAGACCAAATGGGCTCGATTAGTCGAGTATTACACTACGGGCAAGCCTATGGTGCGTCGTTTGTGGCATAAGAATTTATTTTGAGGGTGAGTGAAATCTTACGTGTTTGAATTCCTCGGTGTGTGAATTATAATGACATGACACAAGTCTCTTTTGTGGTGAGTAGGCACGTGATTCATGAATGAAAGTTAAGTCTGGACCTCTGACTGAGAGTATGAAAGCCGGTTAGGGACATTACGTGGCTAGAGAGGGAGTCCAATCTTGAGGTTAGGAGGTTACGCTAAGGTAGTCTATCGGTGTGAATTATTCTTGGTATAAGGAGTAGGGAAGTGACCTAGTGATGATTAGGCCTATAGAGTGTGGTTTTGTTGCTAGAGGACTAGCAACGGTTTAAGTGTGGGTGTTGATAGTAGCCTATATTATGCGATGTAGATGCTATTTATGCTCGAAGTTAACCACACTTTATTGATGTTTTAAGTGCTAAATGAAAACAAAATGCTCTAATTGAGTTTTTTTATGCTTTGCCGGAACTACTCTGAGTTAGGAAGAGGATATAAAGTGTTTTAGGGTCAATTATGTAGATACAAGGCCAATCGAGAAGAGCCCGGATGAAAACGAGCAAAAAAGGCGAAGAAAAACAGGGTAACAGTCCACCGCGACCACGGTAGGGCCGCGGCTGGAACATGGTGAATGAAAAGCGGAAAACAGAATGTTTAAAATGACCACGGTCTTGCCGCGGTTGGCCTGCGACCGCGGTCGATCTTGAGAAGCCCAAGAAAGTTTAAGGGCTAAAGTGTAAAGCGTAGGAAACTTATCCTAACCCTATATAAACTCAACAAACTCGCCCAAGTCAAGGTTAAGCTTGTTTTTAGACTCAATTGGAGGCAAGAACAAGTGTGAGAAGATCAAGACACCATTAGAGTTTTTCATTCTTCTTCTTGTTATCATTATTTTGTGAATTATGAATGATTTTATGGTTTTATCTTGTTTTACCTTGAGTAGCTAAACACTTAATCTAGGGTTTATGGAACCAATTGTTAGATGATGTTTTGACTCAGTTTTGTTATTATCGAGCCGGGTTTATCATATGATTGTTAAACTATGTTTTGTATGGTGATTAATTGAATGGGCCCTTGATTAATCGTGTCTAATTGCCTTGTGTTGCTTGAGAAAGAATACTAGGTTAGATTGTTGTTGAACAACACCACTTTTGGGTAATTGAAGAGATTCATTACTTGAATTTAAAAGTGGGGTTAGAGATAACGAAACTTTGGTGGGATAATTCAGAGCTGCATAAATTATCAGCTAGAGTAGTTCGAGAGAATGCTCTAGTAAATTATCGTAGTTGATCGAGAGATAATTGCGGTAATCCATAGCTCATAATCCTCATAGAGTATTACGGCGAGATTATAGCAAAAGAGTTAAGAATTAAACTAGCAATTGGGGAAATCAATACCCTAGATCTTTTTACCATTGAATTATCTATAATTTGGAATGTTGTTAGTCTTAATATCCTTTTACTTTAGTTAAACAAATCCCAATGTTTATTGATAAAAATCTTGCATTCGGAAATTGTTTGAGCTTGTACTAGCATCACTAAGAGTTGTAATCGATAGGTTTGTTCCCTGAGGATTCGACTCCGGACTTGTAAACTAGATTATATTTGCAACAACCGCTTTCTCTTTTATAAGGCATCGTTGGGCGTGATCAGTGCTACCACCACACTTTAGCAATGAAGCTGTTGCATTAGTGTCGCAACCGTTGCCGAAGAGTGACATTTTGCAACGGCCTTTGTAACTGTTGCAATAAAGTGATCTGTGGCAACGGTTAGGTGACTTAGGCCTCATTTGCTTGTACTTAATGGAGGTCTGAATCTTAATCATTCTGATCTCAGATATTATATTCGTTTGCTTTTAAAGGCTGAATCTTAATTATTCAGATCTTAATAATTAAGTGTGTTTGTTTTTTTATCTTCACAACCGCTTAAAGGGTCTGAATGGGTTTGTATGATTAAGATCTATAATAAAGACTTATTTCATTAAGAAGCTATCATCCATATTCATTACTAACTGCCGCCACCGCTCACCATTATCAACAACCACCATACCACCCACCACAACCATACTCAACCACCATCATCCTCAATTACAGTTGCCGCCATTATCGACTACAACCACCCACCATCCCCACTACTCCCACCACCATCATTCTCAATCACAACCAACACTCTTCCACCTCAACTACCATAACTAACCACCCTATCACCATCAACAACCGTAGCTGGCACTGCCCATCATTATAAGCTACCACCACCACCTTCCTCAATCATAACTACCACCACCACCCGTCATTATTAACTATCACCACCACCATCCTCAATAATAATTTCCACCACCACAGATCACTAGCTACTACCCTGAACCACCACTGTCAATAAAAATTATCACCAACCACCGCCTCAAGTCGGCATTCACAAGCACCATTGTTAGCCATCACCAAAAGCAACTACGATATTTTAAAAAACTATATATTTCATTGATGGAGTATTATATTAATTAGTATTTCATTTGAATTTTATGTTTATTAATTATTAAATAAAGATAAATTTTATACATTCAGATGTTAAAAATCAAACAGTCTTAATTATTTAGTGTTCAGACCTTCATACACATCTTAATATTCAGATGTGTATCCACATTCAGACATCTTAACTTAATATACATCTTGATATTCAGATGTGTATTCAGATTCAGATGTCTTAATCTTAAAAAACAAAAACAAATAAGCCCTTATTTTTTTATTGGAACAGGTTATTAGCTCAGTAAATACCCCCTCCCCCCACCCCCATCCCATTGCTAAACCTGCCATAACCTTATTTTTTACTTTTACCGAGACACCACAATTCATTTCTCACTGCCATAACCTCTCCCTCTTCTCCGCCACTGCCACACCCTCCTTAGAGCCCCAAAAACTCTCCTCCATGAATGCCGCCCTCCATACAATTGTGACACTAGTTTCCTCGACCAACCCCACCACTTGAGAACTGTCTGCCACTATCAAAACCAACAGCGATGGCCGCCCGACATCAGTAATTTCATCGCACTTACTGTTAGACTCATGAAATCTCCTAAAGCCATCAATTCATTCTGCAAAAGTCGGTAGATCTATTTGAGGTTTCTTCGCTAGAAATCGGTGGCGGAGGGAGAACAAGAGGAAATTATAATTTTTTTGGGTTTCATCCTTAATCATCTTTTTTAGCTTATTAATTTCTTGTTGAGTCCATTATTTTCTTTCAGTTAAAGCTTTGAATCTAAATTGGGGATCTCTTTGAGGTTTCTTATATTATAATTCCTCCCCTTTGCTCTTGATTTTGTAAAGAAAATAGAATATTTCTTTTTCGTTTATATCCTTAATGTTGTTTGTAAGTAGGATGCACTGATTATGTTTTCTGTGTTGTTCATAGTTATAATTTTGGCCCAATTACATGTCCCAGCTTAGGTTTTGCTTTGCCTCTCACATTTGGTGGTTTACTAGAGCTACTATATCTATGCTTGAGCAGGTACAATTTGGTCTGCACTCTAAAAATAGATTGAATTTTGATACCATGAACACAAACTAATTATCTCTTGGTAGTGGACATCTTCTGTTTTATAATATTCATTTGAGGACCTCTTTGTGTCTCCATAAATGTGTTGCTTTGATCTAACACTTGTTGACACATTTTTTTTCTTTATTTCCTTTGTTTCGCTTAAGCATTAAAGTTTAAAGTTTTTCTTTTTAAATATCATGTATTAGCTTGAGTGTGTATATATATACTTGAAGATTGTATACCTTGTAATGTTTAGCGTATAATAATCAAACTGTAATCATATTTTTGGCTCTTTCATTCAATATATTTCTAGTATTGATTACATGGTGTCAATCCGTTGTGACTAGAAAAATTCAAAAACGAAACTTTAAATTAAAAGCATTGCTTTTGTTTGTTGTAATATTTTGGTGCTGTTCAATATTCAATACTTCTTTGTTTTCATCTGATAGTACCTTTGTGTTGTCCATGTATTGAATTTTAACTGTTTGTATTGCTATGTATGTTTGGATATCAACATTTTTGTTAGGTTTGCAATTGGCTTTATCACCGACTATGACCTTCTTGAAGGTATACCTATTTCCTTAATCTTTTTGTCATTAACTTTTCTTTTACCACTTACGCGAGCTTGAAATTAAGACTGAGGTAGTGATCATTGTTGAAGGTGGCTGTTAAGGCTTCAAACATCTATGAAAATGGTAAAATTAGCTAAATTATTACCGTACTTTGACATCTTGCTGTGTTTGGTTATATTGTTACATTCCTTGTACTACCACAAGTGTTCTTCCAATCTAAGATAATACAAAGTTCATATCTGTTTGGACTTTCCCTAAATTTCTTGAGATTCTTCTTTATCATAGTTGGTACTTGTGATGAGGACGTACAATGTAGTTAACATGCTCGTGAATCATAATGTTTTTGCATAATCCTTTATTCTTGTTGTGCTGAATCCGACAGTTCTTTTTGCAATCTTTTTCTTGATGTCACAACTATAATTTTTAGTTTCTAATTTTATCCTTACCCTTCTTTTGACTGGGCATTCAACTATGTCAAAATTTCAGTTTGGATTGTCAGTAGCCTGTACTTCAACATTTATACCATTATGCTTCCAAGCGAATAATAAATTATATTGAGACATTGAGCTTCTTGTTAGTACTTTTTCAGATGAAAAACTTTGAAATTAGCTCCATTTATCAGTATAGCAGTTTAAATATTTCTAGGTTGGACCATACGCTAGAAAAAGCTATCAAATTATGTGGCCGTCTGTGCATGTAGAAATTCACCATCATCTTGTTTTAGCAAATCATTCTACGGCATATGACTTATGCTATGGTAATTTTATATATCTGTCCATCATTCCAAGTAACAATTAGAGAAGAAAACTTAAGCACAATTTGCATAAGGAATTGTTTTATTGCATAAAAAACATAATGCCTGGTTGAGTACTTAAACTATTCCCTATTCCACTACAGCAATGCTTATCTAGGACCTCACTATTTTATATCATAGCTTTTAGCTTACTATATTTTTTATCTTTTTTAATTAATTCTATGTTATTCCAAATCTGACTAAGATTGATTTTCTTTTTTTAATGATTTTATAGGTAAAGCAAATGAACGAGGGTAGATGAAAGTTGTGAAGATCTTACTCAAGAGTATTGGTTGATTTTTGATAAGACTTTTAGATGTTATGGAATCTTTTATTTTAGAAACTTTTGACAACTTATGTATTAATTTTTAAATTGTAATGACCCGACCGGTTGTTTTGAGCCCTAGCGCGCCGTTCAGCAGTTCGAGGCCATGGGCAGCTTCAATTTAGGCATTATGACTTGTACGCGTGGTCGGAATTAAATTTCGGGAAGTTTAGAGTTGACTTGGAGAGGAAATTCTCATTTCGGAAGCTTTAAGTTGAGAGAATTGACTAGGATTGAATTTCAGAGTAAACGACCTCGGAATCGGGATTTGAAGGTTCCAGTATATTCGCATGATGCTTTCGGACTTGGCTGTATGCCCGGATCGGGTTTTGGGTGACCCGGGAGCGTTTTGGCGCCTATTGTGGAAGTTAACATTTTGGAAGAAAATTTTATAAGTTTGGGTTGAAGTGCATTTCAGTGTTATCGATGTCCGTTTGACATTCCGACTCTGGGAGTAGCTCCGTATGGTGATTCTGGAGTTGAGAGCGTGATCGGAAGTGAATTCGGATGTCCGTGGAGCATTTTGGAGCCATTTGGCTAAAGATAGAAATTTGAATGTTTTTGAGAGGTTTGACTGAAAGTGAACTTTTTGATATTGGGGTCGGAATTCGATTCTGAAAGTTGGAGTAGGTCCGTAATGTCGAATATGACTTGTGTGCTAACTTTGAAGTCAATCGGACGTGATTCGATAGGTTTAAACATCGAAAGTAGAAGTTTGAAATTCTAAAGTTCATAAAGCTTGGATTGGAGGTCGATTCTTGGTTTTAGCATTGTTTGATATGATTTGTCGCCTCGAGCAAGTCCGTAATGTGTTTTGGGACTGGTTGGCATGATTGGTTGGGGTCCCGGGGGCCTCGGGGGGATTCCTGGTGGTTAACAGATCGAATTTGGAGTTTGAAGAAGAGCTGAGGTTGCTGGTTGCTGGTGTAACAGCACCTGCGAGACTAGGGCCGCAGGTGCGGAGCCGCAGAAGCGGCCCTATGGTCGCAGATGCGGTATTGGCGGAAGAGAGCTGGGACCGAAGATGCGGTCGTTTTGCCGCAGATGCGGGACCGTATCTGCGGTAGAGAGGGAGTATAAGCGGAATGGGCTGGGGAGCCCCGGACCGCAGAAGCGGTATTTGGTCTCGCACCTGGGGAATCGCAGAAGCGGTCAAGTGACCGCAGGTGCGGAAAGTGCTGGAGGCAGTCGGTGTTTTTAAAAATCGGGATTTGGCCCATCTCTTTCATTTTTCTTTTGACTTGGGCGATTTTTGGAGTATTTCAAGAGGGGGTTTCACCATTCAATGGCAAGGTAAGTTATCCCCACTTATTAGGAGTTAAATACATTGATTATGTATGGATTTTAACATAGAGATTAGTGAAAACTTGGGGTTTGAGGGAAAACCTAGAAAATTGATATTCTTGGAATTTTGACCACGATTTTGGGTATGAAATTGAGAGTAAATTATATATTTGAGTTTGTGGGGTTATGGGTAAGCTTAATCTTCGAAAATTTTCGGAATCCGGGCACGTGGGATCGAGGGCGTTTTTGTCAACTTTTCGATCGGGGTTAGAGATTGTTATAAATTGGATTATAAACTTGAGCATATATTGATGGATTTGCATAATCATTGGCTAGTTTTAGAGCATTTAGCATCGATTCAAGTCTTCGGAAGGGCGTGGAATGCCGGTTATGGATCTTTGGAGCGAGCTGAGTCTCCTTTCTAACCTTGTAAGAGGGAATTGTCCCCATATGTGAATAAATAGTTATGTGCTCCTATTTGTGGGGGCTACGTACGCAAGAGGTGACGAGAGTCCGTGCGTAGCTATTGATATGTGTAAGTCCAGGCAGTCTAGGACCCAAAAGCATTCTATACTTGGAATATCTGTAACCTTAGTGACAATTGAATTTCTTAAAAATCCTATCGAATTGGTAAATGAATTTCTAAAAAGATTAAACTTCATTTCTTGAATTGTTAAAAGAGAATTGGCTTTTCCTTGGATAATTTTTCCCTGATAAATTCATGATGGACTGATTGTTGTGTTTATATATTTGACCGCGTCGCATGTATGATTTGCGAGCGGGGTAATAGATGCATCTATGGTACGTGCTATTCGACCCTCTGGCAGTGCACAGTTTAAATATTGTTGGATCGGGCCGTACGTCCTCGGCATGATTTGCGCATGCTTGTATTGCTGCCTTGAACTTATTAAAGTTGTTATTGCCTCTTCCTGGCTTGAGAATATTTGAATAATGGACTTAAAGAAATTTGGAGATTTCCTATAAAAGAAAGAATTGTTTACTTGCTTCATTCCATTGAATTACAATCATGTTTATAAATATCTACGATTTAATGTATTATTGATATCACATTATTGGACCACTAGTAAGTGTCGAAGTCGACCTCTCGTCTCTACTTCTTCGAGATTAGACGGGATACTTACTGAGTACACGTTATTTTCGTACTCATGCTACACTTGCTGTGCATTTTTGTTGCACAGGCACATGTACTTCTAGTGGCCTACTGAGCGTAGCAGCATGGATGATACTGGGACTAGGTGAGCTACATTACTCAGGCGACCCGCAGCTAGTATAGTCTCCTTCAGTGTATTGTATTTACTTTTTGTCCAATTGTATTTCGGACGGATGTTGTATTGTATTGTTTCTTAGAAATAGCTCATGCACTTGTGACACCGAGTTCTGGGATGTCTACGGGTTTATTCAGAATTTTAAAAGTTGTTAAAGGTTTCATTTCTTATTCAGTAAAATTTACTATGCATAGTTTAAACGTATAAAAGAGGAGATTTCAGAAATATTTAAAACAAGAATTTAATTAAGTGATTTGGTTGGCTTGCCTGACAGCGGTGTGCGGCGCCATTGATCGCTGCCTACTCCACACTACTATAGAGTAGGAAGAGAGGGTCGCAATAGCTTTTACCCGATATGAGGGTCGGGATCGAATTCCTCAGGGAGCTAGAAAGGGAGTTGATGTATCTATCTAGTCTAGAATCGTGTAGTTGTTCCAAATGTCACTTCCAACATTTTTGGGTTTCTTTTATAAACTACTATTATAAAACTACTAATTGGAATTGAAACTAGATTACGCTAAGAGATAATTGCTAAGAGTTGTATCTAATGGATTAAGGGGCACTAGGATAGTAGCTTTCACCTAGGTGGCTAAATGACGGGTAATTGCTTCTAAAGCTTGATTGACATGATTGGGGAAATACGTATAACCGTTGTACAATTTTACCCACTCTCACACCTCTCAGTAGAGAGAATGATTTTGCCCAATTGACTCTCTCGAGACCAAATGGGTAGGCAAATTAGCTCAAGCAACTAGGGTTCAAGTCGGATAATTACTCTCTCGAAGTTTAACCTTTTAATTGGGACTATCAATTCTCTTGAATCCATCCCAATTCCTTGTTGGGTAAACTTTGGAGACTTAGGCTCTCTCTCTCAAGAAGAGCCAAGTCAACTTAGCACAAACCAGTGTTTGCAACCACCAATTGATAAATTAAACCATAAAATTGACACAAATCCAAACACCCATAGTCTATCTAACTTTAAATCACAACACCCATCAATTACCCACACTAGGGTTGAGCCACAACCCTAGCTAATGGGTTTAGCTACTCATGCTTGAACAAGAAAATAGAGAAATAGATGAAAAAGAAGACATATTAATTAAGCACTAAAGTAAAATACAAAAATCTATCGTTAAAAGTAAGCTAAGGTGACAAAAATGGCTACAGAAGATGTTCTCACGAGCGCAGCTGCTAAAATAAAATAACTGACACCCTAAAAATGGAAAAAGGTTCTATTTATACTAAGCTAGAAAAACTGGACAAAAATGCCCCTGCGGGGTCAGTGCGGGCCGCACAAAATGGACTGCGGCCGCACTAGGCTCTTGGACTTCAAATCCTGGCTCTCTGAACTTGGGCTCCGCGGATCTAGCAGAGTGGACCGCGGCCGCGGAGGCAGCTAGCGTGGTCCGCACAAACATGACCGCGGACCATATGGCTTTGAACCTTGGCAATTTCAACTCTCTGAAGTTCTCTTCCGCAGACCGCACATAATGGCAGTGCGGCCGCGGAGCCTTCACCGCGGACCGCACAATATGTACTGCGGCCGCGTTGCTTGAAGCTTGGTTTTTGCCATTCTTTGAATCTACCGAGTGCGGACCGCACAGAATGGACTGCGGCCGCACTAGGTTTTATGCCTTACAATCTGCTCTCTGAATCTCCCTAGTGCGGACCGCACAAAGTGTAGTGCGGCCGCACTAGTCCTGTTTGTCCTAGGTTTGCCTTGTTTTTTGTACTTGTGCAGATTTCACTCCTTTTGAGCTGATCTTTGACATTTCGTCACTTTGTCGATCAAACCTGCAATCAACCACAACCTATGAGCCTTTTGGGACTATTTTGTAACAATTTATAATCAAAGCGTAAGCAAGAAGGGGCATAAAACACGTCAAAATCCCTAGTTATCAGCCATCACGACCCTTAGTGGATATTGGGTCGTGACATGAATTGCCAAAAGACATTGTAAATTTTCTTTTATATATGTATAATACTAGTTTTTTAGATATAATTTTATATATTGATGAGCAGTATCTTTTAGAACGGGTATAGGCTTGTAACACGGTTCTTGAAAGAAAAAGGTCTAAGGCTCAAAAAGGATTAACTAGGGATCATATCATTGGTAGGCTATGGAATTTGTTCAACTATCATTTGGATCAAGGAGAGCCTATAATCACTTCCCAAGTCAAATTTCACTTAAGATTTCGCCTCAACAAACATTCAGGGCAAGTTCTAGACCAATGGCTCGGGACTTGGACTCGCAATTCGATTTCTCACCACACAAGCTAAGGGATTGATAAAGACATCGAGTCGGGGGCCCACAACGACCTTAGATACGATTTGAGCGTACAATGGTACCGAAAAACCATTTGATGATTGTCGGTCAACACAAGAGTCTCAAGGCCAAAACTTTCACCATGCTAAACACAACATTTTGTCTTTGACCATGGGATCAAAGGCAAATGTGCTAGGCCCAAGTGAAGCTTTGCTTGAGGTACCCTTAACTATAAACTACCAAAA